AGCGAAAAAACTCAAAGGATGTTGAAAATCGAAAAATCCTTTCTGGGTGGAACATTTTGAATTTTCATTTTGTTTGACGATGGGGAATTTTCAAACCATTTTTTCTTATTTAGCGTTGAAAACTGAATAGAGAAATGGTATTAGCTTCATTTTGACGATAAACGCCTGTGCATCATGGACGTTCGAATATCAATGTCGAATAAGCGTTTCAAGTTTCATCTGTTATTCGATGCGCCTTAACTCCAGCTTTAAAGGTGCGTATCGTTTTCTTCAAAATTTGTGTTCCTTGCTGAGAAAATTCATATTTTCTAAATCAGAGCCGAAAACGTCGTAATTCTGCTCATGATTCTCGATTATATTAATTAGATCTCAACTTTTATGTAACAGAAATAACATATTCGGAATCAGGATCAAACAATGAATCTAACGATATGTATCTCTATCCTATGCGAGTACTTTCATTTTTTTCAAATTTTCACCTTAAAAAATCATCAAAAATCAAAAAATGAAAATGAACTAAAAATTGCGAAATACACATCACTAGATTCATTGTTTGATCCTGATTCCGAATATGTTATTTCTATTACATAAAAGTTGAGATCTAATTAATATATCGTCAAAATGAACCTAATACCATTTCTCTATTCGGTTTTCAACCTAAATAAGAAAAAATGGTTTGAAAATTCCCCATCGTCAAACAAAATGAAAATTCAAAATGTTCCACCCAGAAAGGATTTTTCGATTTTCAACATCCTTTGAGTTTTTTCGCTTTTTCGACATGAAAAGCTAGTTCTGAAAAAATTAAGAGTTACATATTCTGAATCAGCGTAAAGTTCTCTATCGAATGATGTATAGTAAAGCTGAAAACAAAATTTTACTGAAAGTTCAAATTGCCGGCACCTTACATATCTCGAAATCCTGTGCCCCGTTTTCCCGCGTTTTTTAGCTAACTTCGCATACGATTTTCTAGAGAACAAAGAATGACGGTTGGCTTCTTTAGCATTGATAATCCTGTTATAATACATGAGACAAATCTGTGTCCCCCATGAAAGGAATCTCAGGTTGGCTCTGGGGTCTTGCTTAAAGTTACCAAATTTGACAAAATTATTTGCAAAGGTTTTACTGTCGTTCACTCAGATGACATCGAATAAAATCGAAACACATAAGATCAGATAGAATATCAAAAGATGATTCAAATGCACGTATTGGCGTTGTTTTATTTAAAGGAACAGCAAACGTAGACATTTATAAAATGGAAAGCAAACGTAGACATTCGTGTTTATAGACAAATTCATTCAAAAAAGAATAGAAAAAAATGCTACGTAATGGTAGTTACATTATAAAAGTTTTCACGAGGAATATGTGTTCTTTTTTTTTGCATGATATGGCCTTGTAAGAACGAAAGAAAAAGAACTTTGTAATTCATGAAAATGCACTGTCATACATGCGACGACTATATGGAGTTTTTCTTTAACAATATCATCATTCTCGTCACTATTATTTGTTTTTTCTGACTTGATTCTTTTTGTTTCAAAGTGTATATAAATTGTACTTGAAGTGTGTCTGGCGTTTTTTGTAGTTGCGTTTAAGAAATTCTTGAAAATTTAATTTGCGGTAAAACTTGCACATTTGAGTGAACGTGTTACTTACAACATTAAAAGCAAGTATTATAAATTAGTTTTGCATTCAGTACACATATCACTAATATTTGCCACTAATTCGTGATTTATCTTTTCTATTTACTTCGTCAATATAAACGTTAAATGAAGCTCTCTTATTAATCTTTTCTTCGCTCTTTTCCTGAGATTTAGCTTATTCTAACATTTAACCATTATCTTTTCTATCATCTTTTATATGTTCTCTATAAGGAAAATGCATATACATATACACCTTTATTAATACACGCGAGAGGTGAACTATTCTTTTGTGTTTATTACTTGTATCAAAGGCATATCTTTTGTTTCTGTTTCATTTTTCTGTAGAAAGCAAATGCCACATTTATTCTTTTCATCTTTTAAAGCATGACTTACTACTTTTTCGAGTGACCGTACTTGGTTTCTTAGTAAGTAATTCAAGAAATTGTAATAAAAAACAAATTTAAATTGGCTGATTTCATTTTTATATAAACTCTGAGTAAGAGAAACGCCTTATTTACAACAATTTGATTTTTATACATTTACAGGAAAGATTCATACTACTATCATTTAGTGTTCTACTTAAAATTTCACGTTTTAATATCACATTTTAAGCTTCGCATTAGTAATTTCTGTTTTGTGTCTCTATCGTGTAGTAATGTTGCTGATTTTTATCTATTATTTTTTCGTTATACAGGACAAACGATGATTCAAAGGGAAGAAGAGTTTGTTCCTTTCAACCAAATTCAAGGAATCGCTGCAACAAATGTTCCAGCGTATTCAAATGGAGATGATGATTTCTTCTCTGTCGAACGACACTATTTTCACGGTATATTTATGGGATTTAAATGGCAATGTGTTGAATTTGCTCGTAGATGGCTTTTATTGCGAAAGAGTTGCATATTTAAAAATATCGGATGTGCTGCTGACATATGGACGGGACTGACTCATGTCGAACGAGTCACCGACGGAGAACATTTTCAATTAAAAGCACATGCAAACGGTTCTTCTCAACCACCACAAAAAGATTCATTCCTCATATATCCTCGTAATCCAGAACAACCTTTTGGACATATCGCCATTATATGTGAAGTTGTACCAGGATTTGTTTGTATTGCCGAACAAAACCATAAGTTTCACTACTGGTCAGAGAATTATGCGCGTCAAATTCCAGTAGTATTTAAGAACGGTGGTTACTATATCGAAGACGAGGATGAAGTTTTCGGTTGGATAGAAATTGAAAATGGCAACCAGTTACAACCGCTGGACGAATCAAAAATGGATATTATTCTCAAACACTATCAGCAGCTACAACCAATAGGTAAAATGCAACGTCGTTGTATTTCAAGCACAACTATAACTTTAGGACGTTCTTGGTTGAATATGGATGATCCAGCTGAAAAACTCTTCATAGAAATGTTCGGTGAAGACATTGTACGAGTTAATACTTCTCCAGAGAATGTACCCTATTACCAGATCGACCACGATTTACTTTTGAGCATTGGAAGTACATCTAATGAATTACATCGTTTATTCATGACTGCTACCGAACATGTCATTCATAACGACGATCTTTTAAGACGTTTTGGTATACCAGATATTTTTTGGACTCGGATTCGTCATTCTTGGAAAAATGATCAAGGTTCCACCATGACAGGTCGATTTGACTTAGCATTTGATGGAAAACAACTAAAAGTATTCGAGTATAATGCCGATAGCGCATCTGCACTTTTTGAATGCGCCGTTATACAAGATAAATGGGCTAAAGCTGTTAATTTGCCTTCCACTTTCATGTCAGGATTTCAATTACATCGCGTTTTAGTTAAAAATTGGAAACACTTGAATATAAAAACACGCGTTCATATATTGATTGATACCGACAAAGAAGAGCTTCTCACGGCTTTCTATATGCAAAACGTAATGAAAGAAGCTGGTATCGATTCAAAACTATGCATAATGACTGATGATCTCTATTGGCAAGACTCTACTATTGTAGACAATGATGGTGTGTTAGTGAAAGTTGTGTGGAAACTGTGGATGTGGGAGACTGTTTTTAGAGATTACACAGAAGCCCAAACGGAAAGATGTAACAAAAATGAAGACCAATGGAAACCCGTAAACGGCGAGCATCCACGTCTAAGTGATATATTGTTGAATGATCATGTACGAGTCATTGAACCCCTGTGGAAAGTTATTACCAGCAATAAAGCGCTTTTATCCGTTGTGTGGAGTATGTTTCCAAACCATCCAAATCTCCTGCATACTGAATGGACCCTTACGAACGATCTGAAACAAGCTCCCTTCGTAAAGAAGCCAATTGTTGGTCGTTGTGGTCAAAACGTAACGTTGTATCAGACAAATGGCGATTCTGTTATAGACGAAAGTACCGGTAAATTTTCAAATCGAGACTGTATTTATCAAGAATTATTCCCTCTAACGAATTACGATGGTTATTATGGAATTATTTGTAGTTGGATTATCAGTGGCTTATTTGCTGGCTTTTGTGTACGTGAAGATAAGAAACTAATTACTGATGGTGATAGTCCTGTAACAGCTTGTTGCATAGTCTGGACAAAAGAAGAGAACTAATATTCCTCCTTCTTTTCTTCGATTAAACACTTGTAGTGCATGTTTCTTATAATGGACGAAGCTCTATAATTAAAAGCGACTACAAGCCTTTCTCGAAATCAAAGCTTACACGAGTTCAAATTGCTGTAAGTTCCCTGACTAAAGAATATCGAACACGGCGAAGTTTGCCTACCACTCATGAAATTGAAGTTTTTTTCGAAAGAAAAAGCATAGAATTAGGAATGGTAATAGGTGACATGGACTATGCTGAGTGCTAATGGATGTCTAGAATATTCGCGCATCAGAGTCCTTGGATGAAACGAAACTTCATACAGTAAGAAGACAGAGAAAAGATACTTTGCATTTTTTTTATTCGTGGTGATTAGAACTTGTAGATGTTCTTTTTTCACCTCAATAAAATGAAGTAGCCTGAATAATCTCTTCGCAAAATAGATGTAATAGATTTCGCTTGTCTCCTACTACAAAGAACCCTTTTTTTATCAAATATTACAATATAAGCACGTCCAACATCTGAATGTAGATGATCGTACTCTGGTGTAGACTGATTTCTCACAGAAAATAAATCACAGAAATGTTGCACAGAAAACGAGTGCGTAAATCAGAAACATTTTTTGAACCCAGGACGTTGAAATGGTGTAATTTATCGTCTGTCAAATGCAAGGGAGAAAAAAGGACTTGGAAGTCCTGAAGTCCCATGGAGTCCATTGAAATCCTATGAAGTCTGCCGGAGTCCCTTAAAATACACTTTGTTATAGTTCTGTACGGTGTATCTTTAATGATGTGTATCTCTAATATATCTGACTACTTTAATGTTTTTAGAATCTCACTTTGAAAAATCATCGGAATTTTCACCAAAAAATGAAAACCAACTAAAAGTTTCGAAATACAGATCATTCGACTTAGTTTTTAATCCTGATTCTGAATACTCAATTAGATGTATGCAGTCTGTTTTCTATCAGACATATACATAGAGTGAAAATCCTGATCCCGTTCAGCTGCAATGAGATGGACAAGAATAATGGATTGTAATCTATTGGATATTAACTCATTACAATACGATATGAATTATCTAATGAGTTATAACGCTATGAAAGATTTTTTCAAATTTATGACATTATAATTAGATAAAACATCTAAGGTATTCTAACACATTATGTCGAAGCAGAAAACTCAAACGCGTTATAATACATTAGAATCTAACGTATTATAAGACAGTAGACAAATCTGATTGTGTTGTATCGAGATAAAAAATTGGAATGCATTATAATGCTATAAATTTATAGACCTGTAATGCAATGGAAATTGTTATCTTATTACAACGCCATAAATTTCTAAAAAATAACTTTGCAATGCGTTATAAAACGACGGGCTACGTCAATCGTGTTGTAATAAAATAAATCTATAGTGTTGTAATACTATAATTTAAGAAAAAGCATGTTTTATAGCGTTATAACGTTATAAATAGGGAAAAAAAGATCTGTGGGAAGTATTCGTTCATAAATACCAATCTTCACTTTGTCATTTATACGAGGTTTAGTTGTCCATGTGTTTGATCCTTCCCTATTGTTATTTTAAGAATTATTCAAAATTATTATTTATTTCATGTTTACTTTTACTGTTGTTGATTACTATTCGTGTACCTATTCTTGTCGTTCACCTACTATCAACACAAAGAGGTAAAAGAAGAACTTTCAATAAATATAAACGATTTGAGTACTATGATTATGACAGACTATGATTTACAGATACAGTTTTTATAGAAAGTAAACAGCGAATTTCAGAAAACAGTGCACAACAACATTATTTGCTCTCTGAATTTATCGGTGGAAAAGAAGATTGATCTTGAAAACGACTTTTTTGATGGCGATTTCAACTAAATCAGGCTTTGCCTTTTACTAAAATTTGTTGTTTCCTGAAACATCATCATTTTTAATTTTCGAGAATTATTCAACCTTTTCATATTGTTGAATAGATAGTAGTTCATTATCAACAACACTAGACTACTGTATGACAAATCGAACAGTGACATTCGAGACCATACCGATGAGTTCTTATTTGGTACCGGTTACGGTGGTATGCCACACGGCTATGGTTGTCTGAATTGATACACGATAAATTTTGCAAATACAACCGTTCTTCCTGCAGTTGCAACGGCGCTCTCTAGTGGTACGTGTCTCGCTTACAATGACAATACGGGAGTAAAGTCAAGTATATTGATTAATAGTACATCGACATTTAATATCTACTCATTTACTGGTTGTGCCGTTCTACCATCAACTTTTCAATGGCATTACAGGGTTTACTCTCGAATGTGATTATTTATGCAACGAATATTACTTTATATACAAGTCCAAAGGCGACCGTAACCTTGAATTGGTTCAATGTTGATCGATTCAATTTCAGGTCTTCTGCAAACATATTCGATTTTGATGATTTACGTGTTGGATATTCATAAGCTCAAGTCTGAGTTTCCATCTTGCACTCACTGACGCTAACGAGTTGGAAACACTGAGTTCTGTTTTCGAAGTCACACAAATAATACTGGATAATCATGGTCTTCATTCTATACATAGAGAAAATACTTGCGATATGTCAACGTGCCTTTATCTCTTAATACCGCCTTACCAGTTTGAACAGTATAGCTGTATCATCCCGCTTTTTGCACAGGAAGGCCTAAAATTTTCATCTCCTAAGTTTTTTTCTAAACATAATCGATCATATTGACTACTAATCTGTCCTCAAAAAACTTGAAATGCTACTTTATGCAAGAAACTAAACTTTCAAATCGTAATGATTTTCGTATATTTTCTCGCTATGGATATCGTCCACATCTTCGTGAAAAATAAAAAAAGTAGTGTTATGCCCGAGGAGAGAATTGAACTCTCGACCCCTGGTTTACTAGACCAGTGCTCTAGCCACTGAGCCACACGGGCCTATTTGAACAACGCTCGAAGTATAAACCACCTCATAGAACAACGGTCTTAACAAGCATAAAATCAGACAAGTAACTCCAACTTCGAGTTGCAGTTGCGTTTTTATTAGGTTGGAGTTGATTTAATTTTACTCCACCGCTCGAAGCTGTTCTAACTCCGAAATTTTTCCACTTTTCGTCTTCATTCTATCAAACCGTACACATTATGTTTACAGTGTATGTTCTGACATTCTACACCTTGACAGGTACGTCAAATTTCCCTTGTATTTGCTTGCTTATCCAAATTTCATCTGATAAAGAGTCATAGCGAAACCAGTTTTTTCTGAAGAAATTTGAAGAAATAATTCCATCCACATATGATGTTGCAGATAAACCTGTGAGGCTGACAAATAGTGTACAAACACTTAATTTTTCCGGGTTTCGAGCATTATTTTGAACCAGATGACGATGGAATTTCAGATGAGTGGTAACTATTTAAATGATAAAACTCATGATATATTTAGTTCACTAGCAAATAATAGCTCAAATAATTTATTACGTATCCCGTGCCACACGTTACAATTAGTAGTAGCTGACGGTTTAAAAGAATAAAAATGTGTGAAAGTGGCTAAGAGTAGTTAGTCCGTCGTCGAAATAACTCAAGTCCACTTTCTTATCACATGTCTCGACGCGAATCTCTTTAAAAACTCGCGGTAGGCTTGCCTAATGCGTTCGCTGTAAGACTCGCGAAATAAGATATGATTTTCCAACTTCGTATAAGCCTTTTGACTTCCTTGCTATTTATTTTATTACCACTCTTTATTTTGTTGAAACACGATTTTTCACAACGACCCAGGTCCAATAGACACGGCCACGTACGGCGATCGTATTACGACGAAATACGGCGGTTTACGGCTGCCGTATACGGCGAATTTCTTGTGACCTGTGTTCCTTGGAATTCCATCGCAAGATGTATTCTTATAAGTTTTCCAATATGAACTAGTGTTCTTTATGTGATCAAAATGGCATCAAAGTGTTCTTTTGATCTACTACTCAGGTCCAAAATAGCGGTTAACGTCTAGTTAACGTCACAAAAAACGGCACGTTAACGTTCTCAAAACAGCAAAAAACCGGCCAGTTGATGGTCAATCTCTCGGCGCACCTTACAATGTATTTCCACTTCAGCAAACTATGATTACTATACCATATATGGAAATTTGGCGGAAGCTGTGTTAAGGTATTTTCATACATGGGAGCCCACGCGTGGAAACTCATGGTATTTATTGCAAACATAAATAGCAAATTCACACTTTTGTTTACAAGCAATATGGTATAACCAGAATGTGCTCGATTTATAATCCTAGGTACGTGTGTTCGAATCTCAATCCTGGCAAATACTTATAATTGTATGTATGTGCGTGGTAAGTGATATTCAAGACGATACAACGGATGGATGACGTCCTGAAGTTCCGTATACATCTTCTGTAGAAGATGCTGGAAACGAAAAATAATTTTTTCTAAACTGACCTTTAAGGCGCAGTTACGGCCGGCGTATTTACGGTGTAGTTACGGCCGTTTACTGTCGTATTTGCACTGTATACGGCTGTTTACGATGCAAATACGACTGCAAACGGTGATTTACGGTGGTCGTATAGGACTGTATACAGTCGTTTACGGCAGTCGTAAAATTGGACCCGGGGAAATCATTTTAATAATTCAGACTTACATTTCAACAACTTTAATTTGGAAAGCGTATTTTTTACACACGCCCATGTCGTTAAAATCGCTTCTGGAGGATTACTTGCGATTAGCAATAAAATCGCCAATTAATCACAATTTTGACTATAATCGTGCATAAATTGCGATATATCGGTGATTTTAACCCTTTGTTAGCGGGCGTGGTATATATACCACCTCGAGTATTTTCTCATAGTTGAGGAATGGTATATATTTCAAATCAATCAGAAGTGAATGGAAACAGCCTGCAGATTACTTTTCTGTATGATAAATTAATCCTGTTAGCATTTCCAAGCATTAGAAAAAGCCGAATATAGTGCATTTAGTAATTTCAACAGTGTATAATGGAAAT